ATAGATTTAACATTGTATTTATATATATATATAGAGAGATTATTTAAAAACATAAAATTCTTAACTCTTTGTTATTTTAACAGCAGCTTAACCCTTGGACTTAAATTTAAGTACATACATCTGTCACGAAAATCTCGCAGTAACATAGGTGAAATTTAATACTTACGTGGAATGTCATCCTGCATTTTGTTTATTCCATGTTAAATGCTTGTGTGTTAACCCAGTTTACTTTTGCATGCTTGATGGTCATTTTTTTCCGTCTCTCTTTTCTTCTATTATTCAGGATATCACACATGCTTTTTTTTAATTGCACAACACGATTAAATTTTCTCTTTCATACTTATCTTCGTCTGTAAATTGAATTTTTTTTTATATAAATATTTGTGATGAAAAAAATTGTTTTTATTTGCATATAAATTGTTAGTTTTCTGGCATTTAATCACTAGTTGACAACAAAATCATTTTAAAATTTTTAAAATTTATGACATTAAAAAAATTAATTAAAACTAACATTAATTAATTTAACATTAATTAAAACTAAAACCTAGACTTTCTTACGTAGCTGGTTCATACGTTAATCTATTGTTGGGGTTATGAAGTACCCCAAACTTATTTTGTTTGTTGGAACGTTTGTATTTGACAACACGAATTTAGTAAAAATTATTTTTTTTTTAAATTTCTTTTTAAAAAATTTTTTTAAAAATTATTTAACAATTAAAAAAATTAAAAATTATTTAACAATAATTAAATTTAGTAAAAAGAAAGCTTTAAAATAATTAAATATTTTAAAGCTTTTTTTTACTAAATTTAATTATTGTTAATACTGAATCTGAAATTATTCAAAAATTTAAAGTTGATATTTGAATATAAAAATAAAAAATGTTATAATTTGCATAATAGTAATGAATGGAGCACTGCATTTCGCGCGCAAAATTGGCTAGTCTGTTGATAATTAGAAAATGAAGAAAAACGATTTCCTAAAAGTCTATTACTGATTATCTATTAAAATGCAAAGTTCCGGCTAGATTTATGAGCTTTATGTAATTGAAGATCAATATTTTGAAAAGCCACAGAATTCTACTTTGAGTATTTAATTTGATTTTGTTGAAACCTCGGGGTTGAAACCAAGCACTATTTTTTAAAATGTATATCAGTTTTCAAATTTTCCTAATAAATTAATTAAATTGAAATTAATTTAATGTATTGAATTAAATGCATAATGGATTATTATAAATTAATTTGCGATTTAAATAAGGAAACTAAGAAGCGAAATAATTGATTGAGAAAATTAAATCTAAAACCTTTTTCGCTTTTTCGAATGTCTAATATTAGACGACGTTGAATTTATTTATTTTTATTAAAAAATGAAATTTAAATAGGTATATTTTGAAAAAGACATTTTGACTCTAAGCGAAATACTATTTTTGTAGTGATGAAAAAAATTGAGGGAAGCCACCACCCTTAACTTTGACCTCTTTAATTTTTAATTATCAAAGAAGGTTGTATTTTTCTTCTTGCGTCATTTTCAACCCAAAAACACTGGATGGCCAAAGATTTGAAATTTTAATTTTTGAAATGGTTAGGATTTTTATTTTTGCATCCGTTGCATATTTTTGCAAATACAAAAATAAAAGAAGGAAATAAAAATTACATCTTCAAAAATTAAATTTTTAATTTCTTGACCATCCTATGCATTTTATGGTTAAACAGAGTTGCCACGCAACATGGAAATTTTCATAAATAGATCAACTTCAAAAAGTTTTAATTTGAAATTTTAGAAAATTTAAATCTTGTATGAATTTAATTAGAAATTTTAAGGAACTCAGATTTTTGAAAAATGTTAATAATTCTAATTCTTTTGAAATTATAGTTAAATTTTTTAATACAATTTAATTGATTATTAAAAATAATGGATTTATAGAAGAATTTTAGTTAAAAACACTAAAAGCAAAATTCAATTTTGGAGAAGTTATAAATTATTGCGGAAATTCAATTATTTTCAAAAGTAAGAAAATTCTTCGCAAAAATTCAATTATGTTCAAAAAATTTTTAATTTTCCTGTAAAAATTTCAAATATTTTTAAAAATAGTAAAATTTTTCTCCGAAATTCAATTATTTTCAATAATTTTGAGAATTTTTCATAAATAACTCAACTGATCGCAGAATTTCAATTACTTGTAAAATATAATTTTAATCGAATTCCTCGAAAAATGTAATTATTCTTAAAAATTTTATCAAAATTCGTCGAATGAAATTAGTTAAATTTTTTATACATATTTAATAAATTACTCAAAATAATTGAATTTGTGCGAAGAATTTTTGTTAACCCGGCGAGTATGTGGTTGGGCATGTCATGCCCCACATTTACTTACATCCTTTTAAATCCTAAAATTTCCACTGTAACGTTTTGAAACTTCGAGTAGCTGAAGTTATGGGTTCATAAGAGAAGATGATGGTATGGTGATAGTGTTATGTAAATTATATTTTAAATTACTTGGACGTAAACGTCAATTTTGCATATTTTTGGCGAATTTTTTTTTCCTAATTTCTACTAAATTAATGACAACTGAATTGAGATATATTCTAAAAAGCAGTATTATGCTCCTCATTTACTAATATTTAAAGTCCTGCCTTTATAAAAGTGCAAATTTGATTTTATAAAAGTTTTAAGTTTTCATTGTTTTATTTAATCATATGATAAATCTTATGACAAAGAGTTGATTTTATCTTTATAAATAAATAAATAATTAAGAAAATATATTTTATTACATGCCTTTTTATAATATAATACCAGAAATTAACTTAATATAGCTATATGTAACATTTATAAGCAATTTTACATTTTGGGCATGTCATGCCCACCACATAGTCGGTGTAACAGTTTCCCGCCACATACTCGCCGGGTTAAAAACCCTAAAAAAATTTAATTTTAAAGAAGTTTCAAATGATTGCAGAAATACAATTATATTAAAAATTTTTCGAAAATTCTTGGCAAAGTTTCAATTATTTTTAAGAATTTTCCTCAATTCAATGATTTTTAATGGCTACTATTTTTAAAAAAATTAATAAAATTTCATTATTTTCATAAGAAATAAATTTTTGACAGGAATTCAATTATTTTCACAAAAATTCAATTATTTACAAATTTTTTCTCAATAATTCAATTATTTAAAAAAAAAATAAATTTTTGACAGGAATTCAATTATTTTTGTAACTAATAAAATTCTTTTCAGAAATTGCAGAATTTCAATTATTTTCAATACAATTTTAATCGGATTCCTCAAAAAATTTAATTATTCTCAAAGATTTTATTAAAATTCGTCGAATTGACTTTAATTATTTACAAATTCGTTGATAAAATTCTTCATGAGAATTTAATTTTAAGAAACATTCAATTAAATTCAATAAATTATTTATTTTTGTACATTAATAATTAAATTCTCGTAGAATTTTTTAATAAAAATTTATTAAAAATTGAATTTTAGTAAAAATTTTAGATAGGTAATAATTGACTGTTACAAGAATTGTAGAGTGAATTTTTAGAAATAATTGAATTTTACGAACATTTCAAATTCAAATATTTGAAAATTTGAATTTTTCATACTTTTAACTAACAATTCTGTAAAATTTAATTTTTTTTTGTCGTATTATTTTGTCTTATTGCACAAGAATTCAATTAATTTAGAATGTCAATTTTAAAAAAATGACATACATTGCGAAAAAATCAATTATTAAACAAAATTTTTATACAATTCTTCACAATAATTCAATTACTTTCAATTACTTTTTACAACATTTTTCATGGAAATTCAATTTTTGAAAAAAAAATTTGATAAATGTCTAAGCAAGAATTCAATTATTTTCATAAATAATTAAACTCATCGAAGAATTTCAATTATTTTTTAATAATATTTTAAATTAATTAATTCAATTATTTTTAAAAGTAAGAAATTTTTTCTTGGAAATTCAATTATTTTAAAAAATTCTAATAAAGTTATTCGCAAGAATTCAATTATTTTCGTAAATAATAAAATGCTTTTTAGGAATTCAATTATTTTCAAAAAAAATTTAATAAAATGCCACACAGACATTTAATTATTCTTAAAAATTTTAATAGAATTCTTTGAAAAATGTAATTATTTTTAAAAACGTTTTGCAATACAATGATTTTAAATATCTACTATTTTCATAAAATTTCCAAATAGAATTCAATTATTTAAATTTTTTTTGTAAGAATCTTCCTAAGAATTAAATTCTTTTCATGAATAATAAAAATTTCTGAGGAATTCAATTATGTATTTAAATTAGAATTTGCATAAAATTAATAGAAAGAAATCAATTATTTAAAAATTTTTATAAAATTCTTTGCAGGAATTAAGTTATTTTTATAAATATTTGAATTCTTCAATGAATAATAAAATTCGTTGCAGGAATTGAATTTATTAGCAGGATAAGAAAGAAGTAAATATTTTTCATGAAAATTAGGAAAAAGTCAGGAAAATAAAAAATATGGAATGGAATTTTTGTCATTTTTGTGAAGTGTCTATAACGAGTTTTTTTGGTCATAAGTTTAATTTTTCGATAGTTACTTTTTCACTACTTTTTTAGTTTGAAAGCTACTTTTTGCTACTTTTTTAAAATTAATTATCGAGTTCGAAGTTTGAAACCTCTAAAAATTCTATTTTTTAACCTGGAAAACTTGGAAAAGTCAGGGAATTCTCTAAATCCTCTCTCTGACTTCTCTTCTTTTTTTTAAAAAAGGGAGGAAGAGAACAAATAGAAACTTCTTTGATAGTTAAAATTTAGAGGGGTCAAAGTTAAAGGTGGGCCTCTCTTTAAAATTTTTATTTTTGAAAAAAGTAAACAGACTTTTTGGAAACTATTTATATGCAAGTTAAAATTTTTAAAAAGGAATAAGAAAAAAAATTGAGTTCTCTCTCAAAACATCGACATACGTATTAAATTTGAAAATGATAAATAACATTGTATTCTTTCTTCAGGTTATGACCAGATACCAATAGATTCAATGCAAGGATTAGAGATAGGCGGCGGTTCTACTTATGGTGCGATGGACACTATGGATGTGGCACCAGAAGGTGATCTAAGTTTCGATCATCTTGAAGAGCTTCCAGCACCACCTCAAGATAACAACCAGGTAGCAGCCTGGTATGACACTGATCTTTAAAAACCAACCATTCTCTCTCTATGTAGGAGGAAGGACACTCTGTGGATTTGTCTCGAAATTTTAGTTGACCATTTTATTATCAATGGTCTTTTTTTTAAGTGCGATTCTGTTTTTACTTCAAACCGCGCCTTATATTCTTTCAATTTTTTATTATATAAAAAAAGTAGTTTTTACGAATCCGCATGAAATTCTCAACAGTAGTAGTTTCTTTGCACTGTTGTTGAATGAATGAATTTTTAGATTAAAGAAACAATTTCTTTTGAGCAGAGATAGGTAACACGACTGCTCCATAGCGATCTATACTCGCTTATTCAATACCAATCCCGTAGTCTAGAGACTAAAAAAATAATATTATGATAAATAATTGAAAAAAAAGAGGATTGAGTATAAGTTAGTTTCCAAAGCCATTGTTTGGATCGAATAGTACAATGGCAAGTACTTTTGTACGCTGTGCATTTCTAGAAATGTAAATCCTGCAATATCTTTGCGATCAAATGAATACAATTTTGTACCTTCTTTTTTTACATGAGTTTTGAATTGTTAATACACTCGCGTTATAGTTAATATAACACGAAAAATATTGTAGTTTTTAACAAAAAAAAAAAAACTAACGGACAGGGTCGAAAAGATTCTAAATACGAAGGCTGCTATATTTCGTATTTAACGAACATTTCAGTATTTTATTTAAAGTATCATCGCAATCGTGCGTAGATCTGTCATTAAGAAAATATTTTATACCGCGAACGAGTGACAAAGTTTTAAGTAGAAATTTTATCGGCACCTATGTGAAAAATTTGATCTTTTAGATTATATATATATTTACATATATATAGTTAACATTGCGTTAGGGACCATTTCTTTTGATTCATCGACCAGAAATTTTTAAATTTATTTAAATAATAGAAAGTATGTAGCACAAATAATGTAAAGTGAGGAGTTGATTTGATTTGTCCGATTCGAATCAAATCTAATTTGTTTGTATTTCTCAGATTGACTCCCATCGGACTTATCAATCACTCCTTGACTTTTGAAAATTATTATTTTTATTATTATTATTATCATTATTATTATACATATATTATTATTATTATTATATTATTATTATTATTATTATTATATATTATACCTTATAAATTTTTTATCAATATTATAATTATACATATATTATTATCGATATACTAACATTTATAAGCCTTACTAACCAGAAGTACTACTTAGGCTAAAGTGTTCTGTATTACATAAGTAGGAAAAAATTCACTTTGGTATTGCGATCTCGACTTCAAACTCTGACTGATCGACTTCTTTAAAAAACAAATTCCGATATTTTCCCAAAAAAATAGAAGAGCACTCGTTTTAAAAACAAAAATTTTTCAGATTAAATTTATAAAATTATTCAATATTAAAAAATCAACGGCTTTCTGAAAAAAAGTATTATAATTGTTATTTTATAAATTGTAATCGTGCAATAATAATTCATTTTGTGCTTTGCTTAATTATGAGAAGTATCATCTTCTCAGGAAGTGAAAGACGAGTGAAATCCCGATCCATTTCACATTGCTTCCCTTGAAACGTTGATGTCATTCGAATATTGATGAAATACAATCATATACGTGTAGGCATAACGATATCATTGAAACTCTGCATTATGCATTATACAGGGTAGTAACACTTAATTTTTATTATCTAATATCGTAGCTGCGACGGTATTAGCCATTCATTAATGTTATGAATTGGTCGACCGTTTCGCACGTTGTCGATGTGTTAGATTTAAGTGAGAGACGTAATTCGTACATATGTACTATGTATTGTTTAATTGTCTATACAAATAAAGTAAGTAAATAAGTAATTGAATTTTCTGGATTCTTTCATCTTTCTTTCAAGTCTTGAAAAATCTGATAAAAATTTAAAAAAAAAGAATTAAAAAAATTAAAAATTTACTCGGGGTTCTAAGATTATTGTACGTTTTTTAAATATGTTTATCTTTTGACTCAGTCAAGAACAATTTTTGTCAATTTTCATTTATTTGGGGTAACAAATTGTTGTATGGATTTTTTTTAGAAATATTTAATTAAAAGAAGATCAAAAATACCGCAGTGCGACGTATCTAATATAAAATGAGGTAAAGTCGATTGAAAATTAATTAATAAATTCCTTAAGTCGACTTTTTAAGTTCTTTTTAAAAATCTCATGAAAAAATTTACAATAATCGTCAATAGTTATTTATATTATTTAATATTTATTTTCTGACTTCTTTTTAAGATCTTTATGCGATAAAAGTAAATTTCTTCGTGGATAGTTTATTATAGACCACTTTGTTATGAATTACTTTTCCTCCAAATTCGAGGTGAAGTCGGTCCGTAAAAGTCAGTTTTTTTGGAAAAAATGTCCTTAAAGTCCATAAGTAATTGGTTTGAAAAAGTACGAAAAGTTCGTAAATTGTACGATATAATTTGGAGAATTTTGGAGGAGTTAAAAAAGATTGCAGATATTCAATTATTTTTAAAATTTATCCTAAAATTCTTCTTCGAAATTAAATTATTTTCAAAATTTTTCTTCAATTCAATTATTTTCAATATTTACTATTTTAATAAAAAATCGAACAAAATTCAACTATTTAAAAAAATTTTTGATAAAATTCTACGCAAACATTTAATTATTTTCATAAATAATAAAAATTTCAGAGGAATTTAATTATTTACAAATTTCTTCGCAAAAATTCAATTATTTTTAAAAATTTTAATAAAATTCTTGGCAAATTTTCAATTATGTTAAAAAATTAAAAACTGTTCTCTTCAAAATTTCAATTTTATCTTTTAGAAATAATAAAATTCTTCTTCGAAATTCAATGAATTTTCAAAATAATATCAATAAAATTTTTTTGCAAAATTTCAATTATTTACAAAATTTTTTCGATATTCAATTATTTTCAATATCTACTATTTTAATAAAAAAATTCCCCAAAAGAATTCAACTATTTAAAAAAAAAAATTTATAAAATTCTTTGCAAGCATTCAATTATTTTTATAAATAATAAAATTTTCAAAGAAATTCAATTATTTAAAGCAAAATTTTCATAAAATTTGTCAAAAAAAAAAATCAATTATTTAAAAAGATATTCATAAAATTTTTCGTTAAAAAATCAATTATTTTAAAAAGATTTTAATAAAATTCTTTGCAAGAGTAAAATTATTAAAAAATTAATAATGTTCTTCGCAAGAATTTAATTAGGATTTTTAAAAGCTTTAATAAAATTCGCTGTAAAAATTAAATTATTTTCATAACTAATAAAACTCATCGCAGGATTTCAATTATTTTAATACAATTTTAAATTAATTTTTCGAAAATTGCAATTATTCTCAAAAATGTTATTAAATTTCTTCAAAAGAATTCAATTATTTAAAAAAATTTTGATTTAATTTTGTTTATTAGAATTTAATGATTTATTTTCAATACATTTTTAATTAAATTTCTTAACAGAATTAAATTATTTAAAAAAATTTTAATGAAATTCTTCGTAAGAATTGAATTATTTTCAAAAAATATTACTAAAATTCTTCGTCGTAATTTAATTAATTTCAAAAATTTGTCGAAAGTCAATTATTTTCAATATCTACCTAATATTAAAATAAAATTTTCCTAAAGAATTGAATTATTTTTAAAAATTGTGATAAAACTTTCACATGAATTCCATTATTTAATTAATTTAATTTAAATTATTTTTAATAGAATTTTAAATTAATTTAAAAAATGCAATTATTCTTGTAAATTTTATTAATGTTTATGTCAAAATAATTGAATTATTTAAAAATTTGTTGATAAAATTTTTTATGAGAATTCAGTGGTAAGAAATATTCAATTATTCAATAAATTATTTATTTTTGCATTTAAATAATTAAAGTTTCATAGAATTTTCTAATAAAAATTGATTTGAAAAAGAATTTTGGTTAAAATTTTAGATACCTAATAATTGAATATTAAAAGCATTTTGACGTCAATTTCTAGAAATAATTGAATTTTGAAAAGGCTTCAAATTAAAATATTTGAAAATAAAATTTTTTTATACTTTTAACTAACAATTATTGCGTAAAATTAATTTTTTTCGGAAAAGTTTAATTGAGTTTTTTTGTAATTATTTAAAGCTTTTATTTTCTAAAATATTATTTAATTGAAAAATTTTCCGAATAGAAATTTTTAGTCAAATTGAATTGTAAACAAATAGATTTGAAGATTCTCAAAGAACTTTTTCAAGAAATTTAAAAAATTTATAAAATAATTGATGTAAAGAAGAATTTCAGTTAAAAATTATAAAAAATAATAATTGAAATTGAAATGATGATAATAATTTTGAAAAAGTTACAGTAACAAATTCTTATAATATAAAATAATGATTTTATCACTCGGTCATCTTTAATTTATTCTAAAACATGAAGAGTCGAAGACTCAAAGTGATCGATATCTTCATGTTTTATAGTAATGAAAAAATTTAATTTATAGTTTTTAGGAAAATGTTCTCTTATTTGACTCAGACTGGTTATATTTTATCAGTAATCGGTCCGTAATTTTTTAGTTTTGGTCCGTAAAGTCCGTATTTTTAAATACTCCCACTGGTTCGAGCCCTGTTGAGTATATTTTATTTATATAATATAAACTGTTTAATATAAATCATTTAACAACGTCTAAAACACAACAAGAAGATCACAAGTAAATATTAGACTCGCCCATTGCGCAGCTTGGAATCATATAGACATGTGTTATTCTTGTTTCTACACAAAACGAAAATTTTATTATTTTTTTAAAGGGTTTACAGTTTACCAACTTATGTAATATTTAACCAGATCGTAAAGCTTCATTTAAAATTAAATTTTACATAAAAAAATGATTTTTAAAACTAAAATGTACTTGTGTGGTTTCTGCACAAACAGATTCATTTTTTTTTTGACTCAAAAAGAGTATTTGAATTAAATTATAATTAAACAAAATATAAATTTAAATAAAAGGAACATGTTGAAGGACAACTTAAGTCTCAAAGGATTTTACTGTTTCTTTTTTTAAATTCTCAGGAGGGTTTGTACTATTATCCTATTAGGATGCCACTTTTTAAAAATTCTGAATCATAATCCTGACAATTTTGAAAAAAGAAACTTTTTAAATAAATTCTGCTAATGATTCACATCTCAATGGATTAAAATCCATTTTATAATAATCAAAGATAACCGAGGGATAAAATCATTATTTTATATTATAAGAATATTGTTACTGTAACTTCTTTAAAATTATTATCATCATTTCAATTTCAATTATTATTTTTTATAATTTTTAACTGAAATTCTTCTTTATATCAATTATTTTATAAATTTTTAATAATTTTTGAAAAAGTTCTTTCAGAATCTTCAAATAAATTTTATTTATTTATTTATTTATCACAGTTTTTAAAAATAAATGAATTATATCAACAAATTTCGCTAACATTTTTTAAAAATAATCCAATTCTTTAGGAAAATTTTATTTAAATTAGGTAGTAGATATTGAAAATAAGTGAGTTTCGAAAAATTTTTGAAATTAATTAAATTTCTACGAAGAATTTTAGTAATATTTTTTGAAAATAATCCAATTGTTGCGAAGAACTTTATTAATTTTTTAAACAATTGAACTTATGCAAAGAATTTTATTAAAATCTTTTTAAAATATGTAATTGATTTTTTAAGAAAAATTTTATTAAAATTGTGTTTTAAATAATTGAATTACATTGAACATTTTTTTTATTCGTTATAAAAATAATGGAATTTTTGCAACGAATTTTATTAAAATTTTTAAAAATAATTTAATTCTTGAGAGTATTTTTATTATTTATAAAAATAATTAAATTCTTACGAAAAATTTTCTGAAAATCTTTTTAAATAATTGATTTTTTGGGAAAAATTTTATAAAAATGTTGTTTTAAATAATTGTATGTATTCCTGTGAAAATTTTATTATTTATAAAACTAATTAAATGTTTGCAAAGAATTTTATAAATTTTTTTTTAAATAGTTGAATTCTTTTGGGGAATTTTTTTATTAAAATAATAGATATTGACAATAATTGAATTTCGAAAAAATTTTGTAAATAATTGAAATTTTGCAAAGAATTTTATTGATATTTTTGAAAATAATTTAATTTCTGAGAATAATTGTATTATTCATAAAAATAATTCAATTCTTAGGAAAAATTTTATGAAAATCTGTTTAAAATATTTAATTTTTGTGGAAATTTTATTACTTATGAAAATAATTGAATTTCGAAAATTTTTTGTAAATAATTTAATCAATTACTTACTTAAAAAGATTTTTATAGAATCCTTCCCAAGAATTCAATTTGCGTAGAATGTTATCAAAATGTTTTTTAAATAATTGAATTTTTTCTTGGACGTCAAATTCATTTTGATTTCTAGGCTTAGAGATGTTAAGGGAAGTAATCGATGATTTAAAAAAGGAAAATATACTCTTGAAAAATTCACGCATCAAGAGGAAGAAACACGCCATCTGCAGTTGCTGAAAAAATGACACTTGTGGAGGATTTAGAAAGAGTTAATAATTTTTTCCGAATGTTTTAAGCTTCTTCCAACGATGAGTTCAATGCAGGAACTCCATTCAGTGCAGTTTCCAAATTAACTCAAAGTATTACTTCCTCATAGAGGAAGTATTGTAATACCAAAATTTTTCGAGTTTAATTTTTTGACATATCTTTATGTTATTTGACCTCAGGAGTTCAAAAATTACATTTTTAAAAAATGTCATTCCGTATGTGTGTGTGTGTGTAAACATCACATTTTCATAAATATCTCGAAATCATGAAGAGCTTTTGGGTTGAATT